TCCTGGTGCGAGCGCGCAGCGCTGCCCCGAGCGGCTCTGGGGACCGGCTGCTCCAGCCTTTAAACTTGTGCAGCGAGAACACACGGCTGTGGCTGTGCCCGTCTGTTGCTGTTCGGAAGGCAGCGAGTTGGACTGTGTAGATGAAGGTATTGCTAAATCCGGCTTTTTGCTCGTCTTCCTCGTTAAGAAGCATCTCTCTAAATACCAGAATAGTTTTGTATTAAGCTGAAAAAGTGTGTTGCCCTGATTTATTTTTTTTTCTTTTTTAACAAAGAAGATTTGGTGTTATCAGGGTATAAGACCCGCTGTGATTTATTCGTATTTAGTGAGGATGATAAATTAAAAGCGAGGCTTTATCTGCGGGAGGAATCTCTTGAGGCCGCTGCCCAGGTGGATTAATTCATTCCTTCAGTTGGAACTGGCTGCACACCTCCCTGGGGGAGTGTAAGTCAGGAATTTTATCCTGTTGCCTGTTTAAGGAAAATCAGAGAGGCAACTCCCAAGAGAGAAAAATTGTGATTAGTTGGAAGACTCTGCCTGGTGGTAGAAGACTCTAAAGTGCAGGAGGAAATTTTGCTTCCTGAAAACCTCCCTGATGCAATCAACAGCTGTGGTGCTGTCAGTGGGAGAGCGTGAACACAGAGGAGAAAATCTGCTGTGCACTTCAGAGATCGTGGAAATAAAAAGTGGTTAAGCAAGCTGCTGAAAAGTGAACAATTACTCTGAAGTTAGTTCCTGCTGGATCTGTTTAAACTGAATGCAAAGTCACGGCGTTTCTGTGTCTTTCAACATGGGACAGAAGAGGGATGGCTGAGTTAGCACATAATACCTGTTTAACTGTCAGGCATTTGGAATTGAATGTAGAATTAATTTAACTTTCTAGGCATGAAAAGTCTAGGCTTTCTCAGGTGTTTGCAAATAGTTAAAATTTGGCTAATTTTTTGCAGTGGAAGATTGCAGTGCTAAGTGTAAAGAACTTAAATTTGTATCTTGCATAGCTGAAGTGACTGTTGCGCTCCCTCCACATGCACAACGAGTGTCACAGTTGGAACAGTTAAGGATTCTCTCACTGAATGTTGAAGGCCTGATCCCTGCCACGGGGCTTTGGAGCTTGGGGTGTTCCCTGTGTGCAGAGCCTGCCTTTGGCTCGGGAAGACTCTTCCGCTGGAGGAGAGCAACCCTATTTCCTATCCTGAGGAATCGTTTGAAAAGAAGCCAGGAGGTCTGAGCGGCAGATGTAGGTGCAAACGTGGAGATGAAACAGTGTCAAATGACGATGTGTCACAGTTTAAAGGAATTTTATCAGAAAACATGTTACCTGTCTGAAATAAATTGTGCTTTTCCTGTCACATGTGACAGACTATGTATGTTTTTCTCTTTATCCTAGTTTATTCACTTTGTGTACAGCCATCATTATGGGCTGTGTTTTGAATCCACAGAAGAGCAGCGATTTGGAATATTATCAGATGTTTTCAGTGATGCAGAATTAGGAGGGTCTGCAGGGAAGCTTTCTCTAGCAACTTATAACGATTCTTAGGCTTGTCAAACAAGTGTGAATGAACTGTGCAAACTGTGATGCAAGGCTAAGGACTAACCTGAATGTATCCTGCTCAGGGCAATGTTTGGTTCATGGCACTGATGCAAGCTGGCATGGCCAGCCTGCAGTTGTGGAAGGACAGAGTGATCTCTGGAGCTACACAACCTGCCCAGGGAAGTCTTCCCATTCCTGGCCTATAAATCCTGAGCAGTATCACTGGACCCGCAGGGCTTCCCTGGACTGGAGAGTATTATAAGTGGCCAAGGAGCATGCAGTGGCATGCCAGCCCTGAGGCTTGTCAGTGGCACTGGGATAGTTTCCCTCTGTTTAGTGTTTGCTGGCACTAAGATTTATAGGAACCTGTGATGTTTCAGTAAGAATGACTTACTACTTTAGGAAAATCGAGGCAGTCAGTGTTGCAGAATTCAACCCTTATTCTTGTGCAGTCTGGGTTGCATGCATTAAGTTACTCTGTTTGTTGCCTCTGCCCTCTAGTTGTGCATTACTCTTTCCTAAGAGGGCAGAAAGGTAACACCAAAATTGTACCTCCTATCTTTGTTTTAGACTCTTCTCCAGCTAGAAAGGTCAAGTGGTATGTTAGGCTTAATATGGAGCTCAGAAGATTTGTTATCGGTAGGACTGCCTTTGCTAATCTCTACCCAACGGTCTAGACAAAACTGGTAATGATTATTTGCAGAAATATCCTTACCCTTATCTTGTTAAACTTCATCGTGTTGTAATCTTAATCCCTCTGGTCTTTTGAAAACTGCTTCATAATTCAATTCTGTGATTATATTACAGTATACTGTTATTGCAGCATAATTCTGCTTTCCAGTGACTAGCATTCAGAAACAAGTATTTAAGGAGGAGTGGAAGAAGTTAGACTTCTCTGCTTTGATAATCCTGTTGCCACCAGATGCTTAGGCATTATTTTCCCTTTTACTGATGATGTTGACGTCTAAATTGCCTTAACCTCTACACATTAATCACTGTAATGAAATAAAAAACTTCCTTGAATAGTTTGAAGTCCAAACCCGCAAGTCTTTGGTCTTGCATGGAGCTGAACAGTAAAGCCACAACTAATTAATCTGAAGACATCCAGCAGAGGCAAATCGCATAGTGACAGCAAATGAGTAAGTTTTCCTTCAGGCATTTCATTTGATTATTTCATGATCTGTGCTGAAAACCACAGAAATGAGGCCTTATCTTGCAGCATTCTCTGTTAGCCTGTCTTTACTAGCACAATATGGGATGTGGGTCTTCCCAGATGTCTAATAATGAAACTTCTACAGGTAAGCCATAATTCTGGGTGGTACACCTTTCTTCTCCTGCTCATTTTTTGCTTTGCTCTGGAGTGTGATGTACGAGTGACCTATCTTCAGCTGCTAAATTGTTCAGCTGGCACCTTATGTGGTATATAGAGGCTGTGTAAACTACAGGCATGAAGGTGTGGATTGAATTTCCCATGTCTCAGTCCCTGCTGTGTCTACGTGGGCACAGGCAGGAGATGTCTCAGAACTTGTGGTAGGTGTTAGTCTCTGAGGTGTCAAGACTTGCCACTGTGGACGTCTGAAAGCCCTCTGCTGTGGCTTGTCCTGCAAAGGCAAAAAGTCACTGTAGGCTGGTGGGAAGAATTGTGTACAAAGAAATCTGTTGTGTATGAGAATAAGTTTGCTTGTGAAATAAAGGTGCTACTGAGAAAAGGCCAGATTTCTTGTGTGGTTTTGTATACGCACTTTTTTTTTTTATTTTTTTTTTCAATTGGGTGTTTTAGTGCATGTGTCTCATGGGTCCATGGCCTGAGGAAAGACAAGCATCCATATCTCATTCTGCAGCTAATGATTACAAAGGAGATATGTTCCTTCGTGGAGGGGATGAACCTGGACAGCTGTCTGTCTCAACACGGTTTATCCTGTGTGTCTTTGAAGATGCAGATAGAAGAGAGACTTGTCTCTAGAAGGTTTGTTTTACCAGTCCTAAGGAGGAGTAAAGTGCTCTGGAAGTACCTGGAGTAGACTAAGTGCTTTGTTAACCAGCTTAATTAATGAATAAGGTTTAAGTGCTTCACGTACAAGCAGCTGGGACTTTGGGAGTGAAGAACAGCCCTGGAGAAGGATGAACTGGAATAACATGTATCCTCACAATTTCTTTTTGATGAAGTATGTTCAGACTGATTTCTTGGGCTGAAGGTAAGTATGCTAGCAGAAGATCAGGCCTTAAGAGTGTAAGTTTGCAGGGGCTGTGTTTTATGTGAATTTATGTTATTTGTTTGGGACTTTTGAGTTTTACACTAATTTAAAGGAAAATGAAATTGGGAACAGGTGGTATTTGTTTTGTGTCACAGCAGGAGACAAGAATGCCAGGAACGCTTTCTTCCCTTGTTAGATCCTGATACGTGTTAATACATCCAATCTTACTCATGTTGGAACCCCTTATGAAAAAGGACACAGTTACTTCATTCCTCTTCAAACCCTTCTTTAAAATTTCATCCTCTGCTGCCACTGCTAAAGCTGATGCTACTGAGGTGCTATTGCTGTGGCCTGTCAAGCCAATTAGTAGTGTTCCCATTACTCGTATCTGTTTTTAAGGCTCTGTCTCCTGCTTCAGGTGGTCAGCTTTTTGGATGTGTGAGGATGATCTTGATCAGAGCATTGTGTCCTGGGGACCTAGGACACAGAGAGTTCTCAGCTCTTGTGGGGTTGGGAAGAGGTGTGTGTGTGACAATCAATCCTTCATATGAATGGTGACAAAATGTTTGAAAAGAAGAACTTTTAGCTTCTAGATCGAGTGTTATAACGGGAGAGTATAAAGCCCAAATGAGGATTGTAATGCACGGTGGTCTGTGCACTGTCTGCCTTTATGTCAGTAGGACGGTGTGCTGAATTGCAGTAATTTTTGCATTTTCCCTTAAATCATGTGAGATTTAAACAGGCTAGGACTCACCCTAGGTTTACTTCTTTTCTTTTCTTTGTTTTCTTTCCCCCCTTCCTCTCAGAGCAATTTATCAAGACATTGCCAGAATACCATGTGGTTGATCCAGCAAGAGTAGATGCAAGTGGGCATTTTCTTTCTTTTAATTTACACCATGACATCTCAAACACGAGGAAGAAGAGAGACCTCAGCAAAAAGGATAATATGGTATACTACAGAATTAACCATGAGGATAAGGATCTGTTTTTTAATTTGACTGCCCATGTGGGATTTCTTTCCCATAACTACGTAGTAGAAAGGAGACACGGCAACCACACTGGTGCGAAGATTGCAACTCACTCAGGAGCAACTTGCCACTTCATTGGCACAGTGGTGCAGCCAGGTTCTGGGATTGGGACAGCAGCGATCAGCACTTGCAATGGCCTGGTAAGTGATGTGACCTTTAATGGGGTTCTGGCTAATTTTGGTATTACTAGAACTGAGCTAGAACTCTGGTGTATGAAAATGTTTGGTAAGAAAATGGATAAGCCAATCTGACATAACACTTTGACATAACCTTACTGACATAATGCTCCAGAAGAATCGGTCTAATACTATGGATGTCATCTGGATTTTTGGAAGAGAGAATCAGGTCAACAGTTGATCCTGAGGCCCCTTTAGGGTTTACTTTAGTTGCTAGATTTTTTTTTTCTGGTGGAGGACTGAACATCTCTGCCATTCATATGGCTTGAAGCCATCCAAATATCCAGTCACTGCTCTGATCCCATTAGTAGCTGGACCAACTTTGCCATGCATCTGGATATGAGCTCCTGTTTTAGTTTCCTCTAAAAGGAATGTAGGTCAGGTGCAGCAAAACTGCCGTCCTTATCAAACCTGCTGGGGGTAGGCTGGGAAGACTGAGAGATTTGCTTCAGAACTGCACTGCAGCTTCAGAAATAAATGTTAGGGTAGATGCAACCTTAGCTAGAGCTTTAAATTCAAATCTGAACCACTTCTAAGCATTCCTAATTCAAAAGAGTACTTCTGAGGCTGGAGCTTGAAGCCTTACATTTCTCAGTAGACTGTGACTCAGACAAGGAGGTAGAAACCTTATTTTTCTGGGCTTTGTTTTTTACCACTACCATAGGTTAGGTTTCTACTTCTATAGGATAAGGCTGAAGCCATCTTGTCAGGGAGGGGAAGAAGACACAGACTGCTGGAATGTGAAGGGGATGGTACAGGGAGCTGTGTAAAATGTCACACATAATCGCTGAGAAGCAAATGCAAAGGGTTTGTGGAGTGTGCAGAGGTGATGAAATGTGGGCAGGGTGCGTGTGCTGTAGTGCCTTGACCACTGAGTGGCAAATTACAGTGTTTGAAAGTGCATAGAGCAGTGCACTGATACCTTTCTGACAATACATCTCAGTCTGACACAGGCTAGGGACTGATGCTTCATTTTTAAGCATGAACTCCACACCAAGGTGTGTATCTGTAAAGTACATTCTTTCCCAGACAACCTGTCAATGTTGAAGTGTGTTCCTTGTTACTGAGCAGTATGAAGCTTTCTGAAGCTTTGGAAAATCGGGGGGTTACAAAAGTATCTTGGCAATTTATGAAGAGTAGCATGAAGACAGCTCTGGTGTAGATGAAATGTGAAACTTTGGAGTCTACACAAGTGCTGATGACACTTCTGGCATGTTGCCTAAAGAAACAGACCGTTGCTTGAAGTGAGAAGCTTCAGTCCCACAGGCACAAAGATCAAGGATTTTCTAAGTAATTCTTCCAGTGTGGACTGACTTGTCAAAACTTCCCTGAAACATGTTGTGGTCATACACGTTCAGTAAGGAAAAGGAGAAAGGATGAAAAAGGTAGTTCCTTCGGTTGGTTTGTCTTGTGCTTTACCAGAATGTCTTCATTAGTTTTCATTGGGATAAGAACTTGAAATTATGTTCTGGGTCTTCATTATGCCTTCTGAAGTCTTCAAAAGGATTTAAAACCCCCAAAACCCCTGCAGTTACATTTTAAGTTCAGCTTGGTGTTATCCGATGGAGCGATCCTTTAATTTGGGCTACAAACTATTTGAGGTTTACTTTGATTTGGAGGGTTTTTGAAACAATGGTCGCTAGAATACAGGCTTGGAGATTGTTTCTTTTCGACAAAATACTTGTATCAGAAAAATAGTCATGGTTTGGGTTTTCCCACTATCCCCAGAATGAAACCTTGAAAATACAGAATCATAAATTAATTCAGGTTGAAAGTGACCTTTGGGGAAAAACGCGATGGTTTTGATGCAGTGATTTTTGAAGTCCAGAAGTCACTGCTCTTAAGAGGTTTCAGGAAGGGTTGGGTCTGAATCTCTTAGTTCTTCTGACTGCCACAGCTAGGGAAAGGTAGTTTAGCTTGCCTTTCCCGTGGAAGTTTTCCAGATGTTCCAGTGTCATATGGAAGCACTGATTAGTGAGTAGTTTTGCCAGCATTGAGAAATGCAATCAGGTTTTCACAATAAAAACATGTTGTTTCTGAAACTGTATGTGACAGTCTGCTGCTTCCTGAGCTAATGGTAAATTATTTCCATACTGGAGATCCACAGTTTTTTGCTCTTCTGCACCATGTCTTTTTCTTCTTTTTGCTGCCCTTTTTTTTCTTCCTGAGATGTGTTGTTATTTTGTTTCTTAATTGAAAAGAGCTTTTTTTCTGTTTATTCTTATCAGGGAGAGAAGGAGAACTGACAATAGGTAAACCACACGGAATTAGAGCAACTTATTTGAGATACTAAAAACCTATCTCATGAGGAGAAATTGTAAGCTTGTTTACTGTAGGAGATTAATTCTAAGCTACTTGATAAAAAGAGTTACAAGAACTTATGAGTTGCACAGGGTCAGTTGGTAAAGCTCCTTGGGGCTGAGATGAGAAGAAGAAGAAAATAACAAAAGACTGTGATTGAAAGATGCCAGCTTCCCAGAATAGGCTTTGGCAGCAGTGGCTGCTGCATGGTTCCCTGTGCAAGGTCAGGACCACACTCCAGGTGTGTGCTTTGGCAAGTAGGTCCCAATTCAGCACACCACTGCGAGCTGGCAGAGAGCTGATGTGCTCCAGCCTCAAAAACTGGGAGCAGGTAAGAACAAGTACCTTAGCCTTCAGATTTGGGGAATGGGAGTTTTATTGATGTTCCTTTCCTCAACACCATTTTGTCTTGACAGTTCACGTATGTTACAAAATGATAAACATACTTTGCTTTTTTTGTTGAGATGGTCTTTAATAAGCTAAATGAGGCACTGATTTGTGATAGTAGTGAGTGACAGGAAAGTGTGTCATACCTTAACTGCTAATTTTTGTCTTTCTTAATGATAGGGGCTGGTAAAAAATTTATAATACTGGAAAATATTGATTTAAATAAATAAATGTGTTTTACTGGAATATTCCTTTTGTTGACTGTTTTTAGTGGGAAAAGATTGAAATATTATTTGTAATTTTGTCCAGTGAATTGGTTAAGAATATTGTAATCTTTTGCATCATCACCCACCCCCTCCAAAAAAAAACCTAAAAAAAAAAAAAAAAAAAGGTTGGCCTGAAGTGGGGCACAATAAATTCCTAAAGATGAATGTGGCAGCGGAATCCTAGTTTTACTTTTCTTTCTGGAATGATTTCCTCTTATGGGAAGTCTACTTGATTCATATTTGGAAGTTCCTGAATTTGCAGGATAAAAGCAGTGTGTAAGAAAAAAACAGAGATGTGTGGCTTAGAGTTGTATTCTGTCATAAGGATCACTTGCACAGAGCACTGAAAGTATAGTAAACCTAGAAATGGGTTTTCGTCTCCCTTGTGTTTTTACTTTGAAATAAATTCCTGCTTCCATTTGCATTACATGAGCATCACTCACGTAGCAGCAATATAACTTACTATTAATTTTTATTCATGTCACTCTTTAGAATCAGATTTCTTACGCATAAATCGAGTGGATGGTGCTGAGAAGATGTGGTTTTCAAAGGGGCATCTGTTTGGCTAAATCACATTGACAAATGATTGAAAAAGAGAAGTGACACTTTCAAAATGTGGGAAACAACTTTTTGCCATCAGTGGTTCTCCAGGCTGACAGCCTGTTGCTTTTCAGCTAGAATGTCATCAGTCTTAGGAATTGCAGCAGTTCCTTACTTGTTTTGAGAACAGTACACTGATGTCTTATAAATTTCATTTTCCTATGTATTTATATATTCCCAAATGCCCTGGAAGGGGAATAACAAAGTGACAGATTTGAGATATAAGAATAGAGGGCACAGTCATTGTATGACATTGTTCTTTTTAAGAAATGTAAATATGTCTCCATTTTCAGAAATAAATCTGAAAACAAATGGCTAGGGATCTGGGCAGAATGGGACAAGAGGATTAAGAGGACAAACTAGCAGCGATCTGGAGGAACTTAGTTGTAATTTACAAATCCTTTTTTTTTTTTTTAGTGTATTAACACCTTGTGATATCTTTTTTCCCCTTTCGTACTAAACAGGTCATGACCTTCTTAACAGGTTTAAGAACATGATTCTGCAAGCTCTGCCTCTTCTGTGCCATTTGCCCTATAGCCCAGAGAAATTACCATGTCTTTCTATTCCTATGTGGTATACCTGCAACCAACATTTTTTTCTCTTCCAATAGAAGTGGGGTTATTTTTTGGCTGATTATGTGGCAGCGCAGAAATACACTTAAAGAAGGGGAAGATGTAACCTTTTCTTCTGTTGCAGTTATGATCATCTGAAACTGGATTCAGCACTCATCTCTGACATGGAATTGCACAGCCCCAGAACATATTTGGACACACATGCTGTTTTGGTGGCTGTTATTTTAAGAGATAAATTGAAATGTATTTCTGTAGTGGTAATAAAGGGACTGGGAAACAAATACACAAGTTCTTTTTCAGGGACTCTTTCCTTCACTCATCTTTCTTTGCTTCCTCTGAGAGAGTCTCTGACTTCTTTGTACAGTCTCTGACTGTACGGTACTTGGTGGGTTCTGCTTGTGGTTGGAAGAATGGCAGATGGCTCTATCTGCCAGTCGTGTCTTTTTGTTTGGATGTCAGTGACATCTCCACAGCATCTTTTGGTTTGTCCAGCTGGTGATGATCTGCTGGAACCATAATGTAGGAATAAGGCATTCGGAGAATATCAGGTATGAAAGCAAGCTGCCAGCCGCCTTCTTGGGGATGGGAATTGCTCTGTGGTTGAATATAATGGAGCTTCCAAAGTCTGAATGTTTTGATTTGGCTGGTTCTGGCATGTGTAAAGAAGGAAAGACCTGCTGAGTAACTCGGTTGTGTATCTGCTGTATGTTTCTTCTTAGGCAGTAGTATGAAAAACACTTAAGTAGAAAAAACTACACTGAAACTAAATACAGTGTTCTATGTCATGCATGGATGGCCCGTTCTGTCCATAAGTAATGAATATCTGGATATTCTCCTC